CAGATAATTGGGGCCTGATTTCTGTTGGGGCTGCTAGCAACTCTGGTAAATTATTGTACTTCAAATTTTGGCATGAAATCTCCTGCCAACTTTGTCTATTCTTGCTATTTCCAGCTAAGGCTGACAGTTTTGGCTGGCTGCCTTCCCTGCTTGGGTAAACCCCTGGAAGCACAGCTGAGCAAAGATGCAGAACCTTCCCTCTCCCCCACCTGCCCCATAGGTGTTTGGTGGGGCTTGATGGAAAGTAAACCATCACAGCCACGTTCAGAGAGAGAGGGGCATATCAGAAGAACCTGAACCTCTGATGCACCCTGTGATGAAGAATGAAAACTGTTTTCTTCTTCTGTCCCACCAAGTGGAAGGAGGGGAGTCTGCAGAGAAGCATGAATGCAAAAATCCCCCAGACAGGGTCTCCAGGTAAAGTAATACCGCAACTACCAAAGGATCTGGGACATCACACAGGTCATGCAGCAGAAAAAAAGGGGGGAAGCAAATGCTTAGTACAAAAGACTTACAACTAATAGTGAACTTCTGGGTTTGGGGTTTTAATATCTCTTTGTTGCATGGGGAATAACTCCAGCATCTGTTCACGTAGAGAACTCCTACATTACAAGCTACAAGGGATACTGGAGGTGATCAGTTCTAACTACGCCTTCCAGCATACTGCTACCTTGTTCCTGCTGGAAAAGACTCACCCCTAGGGTGACACAAACATGTCAATTTTTAGATATACAAGCTGTGTTTCTGTGAAGGAATTTAAAAAACATGTGCACTTAAGCATGATGTTCCATATCCCTTCCCAAAAACACAGTGTCTCATTAATCTGCTCTCAAATAATGAATGAGTGGAAGTATAGACATTTCTAGGAGCATTTAACATGCATTTGTTGGAAAAGCAGCACTGCCTTCTTCTCCCATTATTTCTACAAATACAACTCCCTCTACAGCAGAGGGCTTGTGACAGCCCAAGGGCATATGAGAGGCCATTTGTTAAAATGCTGGCAAAGAGTACTGGCATTGTGCATGTCAACTCCTGCTTTACCAAGGGTGGGCAGGGGGCAGCCAGAGCCTGAGTCTGTTGTGAGGCCTCAGAGATGAGATGGAGCAGGGTCTGCTCTTTCCACTGGAGTCCCCACCAGGAATTCCTGAAGAGTACAAAGCAATCCCTTAAAAATGTTTCTGTCATTATTCCAGCCTGCAGCAAACCCTAAAAGCTGCTCAGCTGAAGTTACCAGTCACATTTTCTATTATTGTCTTCCAGTAACAGAGAAAATGTGCAGGCTGCAGCCACACTCAGGCACAGCTCCTGCTGCACCATGGGCTGGTCCTGGCACTGGCACCAGCAAGAGAAATGACAGCTGAGAAGAGACAAGAGACAGGAGAAACCTAGGAAAGAGAGGAGAATACAGATGGTGAGGAATGAAGGAGCTGGATTTGGGTTTTTTCAAGCTTGCTCCACTGTCAAGTTTTCCTCAGCATGGGCCATTAGCCCCTTCCAGTATTGCTTACTGTGAAAAAAGGCACATGGAAAATGACACACCTTTGAAAGCCAAGGCTGTTCTCACAAGGCATTGGGTGATTTTTTGAAAACAGTTTCAAGTAAAGATACTTGCAACATTTCCTGTCTGCAAAGTGAATCTATAATTCTTATAGCTAGACTTTTTTTTTTTTTGTGCTACTACACTGGATCCAGAATATTTTAATTTTTTTTCTTCTTTTGCTACTACGGAGTACTTCTTTTACTACTACTACTACTACTACTAGTTCTTGATGGGTTCAAATTTCAGATGGCTCTTTCTGCAGAAACCAGGGTACTGCATGGGAAGTTATGCTACTGGGGAATAGCAGAGCTGCCTTTCACGTGTGACAGAAACTCCTGGCGATTGTAAGTGCTGCAGATATGCATCTCCCTCATTATTTTTTTCTAATTCAGGCCCACAAAAGTGAAATTTTGTGATTTACAAGCTGTTCATGACCAGAGTGTACTGCTGCTGTAGCAGGGGTTGGGACCTCTGTCAGGCCATACAGAGCTGTGTTTCACAGGCAGTGGCAGCACACACCAGCTGTGCAGCCCCAGAGCTGTGCAGGGCAGCCATCAGCTCGGGCTGGCAGCTTGTGGCAGCCACCATGACATCTCCAGCAGCTGTCACAGGGCTGCCCTGCATGCAGGCCCAAAAATCTGGGTACCAGATACTCCCCTCTCCTTCCTCCCAATACCAGGGGCCAGCTAACAGCAAGGGCAGTGTAAAAACAGAGCTCTAGGAAACAATTATTTATGCATTTTCAACACTGTACTGTGGTTAATCTGTGCTTCCTTTTCAGTGCTGTCAGGTGAAGGAAAGAGGCAGAAAGTATTGCAGAGAGGTACTGGTTTTTATCTTTGCCTTTCAGGTTTTTTAAATTAGGTCACTTTACAAAGAAGAGCTCTGCTGTTTAACATTTTTTATATGACAATCTCAAAGCAACTGATATTCAATTAATTCACAACCTTGCTCTGATTTTGGATTTGTTGTTCTCATTTTCACTGCAGACACCAAGGAGGAGAAAAGTTCAATCACTGGCCAAATACCATGCAATTCAGCAGTAGCAGAACTAAGGACAAGGACTCAACATGCTGAATATACTCTGGCAGCTTCCTCAAGCTGAACAAGCAAAACCTTAGTTGAGGCAATACACACACTCTTGGGAGGATTTCAGCTGATGTCTGAGGTCTTCTGAGCCTGCACAGGGAGGACTGATTTGCCCCCTTTCACACGAAGTTTTGCAAACTACTTCACCATTTACCTTTGCCACCCTTGTGTGTGGGAATGTATAACAGGACTGAAAGGGACCAGCTGGAAAAGAGACAATTACTACCTTCTTGATGCACCAGTTGTTTCTAGCTCTTCAGTAGGTGAGTTAGGCAGCTCATAACATCCTAAAGAATGGCCCTGTGATCTCTGGCCCTATGAAGTCAAGTTAGGAAGAGGTTTCTACAAGGACAGAGGAGATATATCTCTTAACATGAGTTTGACAAAACCAAATTGAATTACCACCACCTCTTCTCAGTGAACGTGTCAATGTGAGGGTTTTAACCGAGGACCCATCAAGGTCAGGAGAGGAAAACACACATTTCAGCAGCTTGAACTCACCTCTTGAGTTTGTCCTGATGTCTAAAAAAGACAGGGGGAGCTTCCCTTTTGCACCCTCTGCTGCATATGAGCTCCAGATGCGTGCATGCTATTTTCAGTCAGAGGATACAGATGTTATTAAATATGCTGGTGATCTGCTCCAGTCTATTGAAATTTTTTAAATCTGAGATCAACACCCAAAAAAAGTATTTGAAGATTCAGCATGAAGAGGGGAAACAACTGCAATGAAAGTTGTAGTTCCCATATTACCAAAACAAGGTGCAGGGCACAGATCATACCCAGTACCATGAGCCCCAAGTCCTGACAATTGATTTGGGAGATCTTTCAGGAACTCTGGGAAAAGTAAAAAACATTCCAGCATGGTGTTTTCTTCTCACATGGTAGTAGGGTTATGAAGTAGCTTTTTATGACCCATTCAGTTTTCCTTTTATAGCAGCCTATTTATATACTCCAATTCAGTCACAGCTTCCACTGTACTGATTACTACAGTGCTCATTTCCCCATTCTGAATTGCGCATGCATTTCTTTTCTTCATTTTTATTCTCTCCTTATTAGATCTGTTAGCCTTGCATTACCCCTCCATGCTGTTGCTTAGCCTCTCCTAGGCTTCTTTTCTAGGGGCACTTGTCTCACTGACAACGAAGTAATCAATAAAATAAATGTTTTAAGAAAAGCCTTCCATCTTTTTACATTTTTAAACACATGAAGAATAGATTCAACACAGTATTTGAGCAGCAGTTCAGTATCACTCAAGATAAAACATCCTCTTCCACTCTGAATAGGACATGAAAGTAAGACTTCTTAAAACTCACTATCCCTTCTACAGTCCCATTTATTTACTGAATTGGTGAGTGCCTATAGGCCACTGATCCTTTTTGCTCACAGCATGTATTATCAAAGTCACAAACCTGTACATCATTTGAAGACTGAAATCCAATGTAATGTTTTTCCATTTACACTAGACATAAGTTGTGCAGCAAACTTTTTAACAATGCTTCTAAGTTCACAACACGCTTAGTCCAAAACTCCTGCAGTTAATATTTTTGCACTTGGGATTGTTAATGTTTGCTAAAACCCGAAACATTCTTCAGCTGAGTAAAAGCTTTACATCCTTAGAACGTAAAATCTAAATATAAATGTGGTGGGCGTATGTGGATCTTTTCTCTCTGAGGAGGCTCTGTTACGAATTTCCACTGTTTTACGCCACCACCAAGCCTCTGCTAAGCCATGACACCTGTTCAGAATTTTCAGCTTCTTAACCCCTTATTACACTTCCTACCATCCACAGAAGAAGTGCAGAGAAAGAGTTTAATCATCCTGGATTTGCTGTATTAATTCTCCATGGCTCCTCAGTGTCCTTCAGTATTTTATGTTAATACCCACCTTAAGGACAACTAACTAAATGGATGAACTTGCCTCCCTCATAACATATGCCAATAGATAATCTGGTTATCAAGCAGAACCTGGAGAGAAAACCTAAAAATTCCATAGGAGGAACACCAAAGATGATGCTGTTAATAAATATTGTTACTGATAAGAATAAATGCTTTATGTCAAAATGAAACAGCACTACAGCTTTTACGTAACATTATGCTAAATGCACTCTTATCAATCACATCAGTAAGAATTCACTATTTTTAGGTTTGATATATTTAGCAAACATTGGCAGTACACAATGCTACTGATGACCAAAAGTTCTTTTAGCATTACTATACAGACGCTCTTTTTAACATTTCTGCAAAAAATAAATCATGAGGATATCTCCTAAGTCAAAATACCCTGTTGAGACAAAATGCCTCAGTAAGAAAACCTGTTTTAAAATACTCTTTTTCATTAAAAACCACATATATCACTCAAATTAACCACAATATGAATTTTGACCTGATTTATTCACACAAATCCATCCAAGTTCATTTTGGGCCCAAAATATATATCATAAGGATATCAGTAAATTTTCCAGGTACTAGAGAATCTTGTATAAATGAATCTGTTCGAGTGCTTCTCTGTCAACATCCTTTTCTATATGCACATCATAGTTCAGCTGCACCTCTTCAACCCATTGACTGAGCTGTACATCTGTCTGAAACAATGAAAGCAGATTCTTAAATCAACACCATGTTAAGAAACAGCAGGAGCTTCAAGGTTAAGGAGTTTCAACATTAAGAAGGCAAGACATAATATGAGAGATTAGTCATTCCAAATTATATGGCAGTGATAAATTAATTTCTGGAAAAGCCATTTTAACTCAAATAGGAGATAATAGAGGTAACTTTAAAAATTATCTCAGTCAATAGTCTAGCTATTTTGTTAGCATATTACAACTGCCTTTCTTTATGCATTTGTGTAAGCCTCAAGCATCCTAATTCAGAGGGTGACATTCTCTGAGTGACACGTGCTGAGGGAGCAGCTAACAGTATCATGGAAGAATCACAGGTATTTCTTCTTTTACACCCAAGGAGTGTTGTATCAAGGCTACAAAGGGCTTCTCAGCTGCTCTGTGACTACAGCCGGCTCCAAGAAAAGTTCAAATGATACCACTGCTGCTCTTGGGGCTGAGGATCTACTTCACCCACAGGCGACAAGTGATTCAATCTCTCTAAAACTAACTACTGTTGCGAGAAAGTTTATACGTAAGTCTGATCAGTGTTTTTTTTGTCTCCTAACTAAAGCTAGACCACATAATTTGACCAGGTATCACACACATGATCTACTGATGACCGATGGCAGAATGGACGGAGGGCAGAGGGTGGCCCATTGGGAGCAGCACAGAGAATTCAGCATCTTTGAAAGATGCACTGTCCTTATGTTTGCTTCCAACTGCAATTCAAAGCTAAGTAACTGATTCAAGACGCCTGATGGTAGTCACTTGGCTAGTTGGGAGACCATATCTCTCACTAATCTGTACTTCCAAAAGCTCATACTGCCATATTAATACACATGTTAATACAGTGATTCATGCAGCCTGCTCATAGAGGCTGGGATTTTCCTTTTCACATGAGGACAATTGAAGTACAGGGAGATTGTGCTGGTGGTCAGCCTCAAAAGAGAATCCTGAGTCTTCCACCTTTTAACCTCTGCACAAAATTATATATCCTTCCTTACAGCAATACTGGCAAGCAGCTAACTTCAACTACAGAAATGCTGCTTTAACAGAAAATAAAAAATGTGTCAGTTAAAACAGGCTGAGGGAACTTACCTGGAGCTTTGAAAGTGATTCCTCAAGACTTGGAACTGTCACTAATAAGGACCCTCTTTTCCTTACATTATAAGCAATAAATTTCCAAGCTCTGAAACATATTTAAAGGTAGGTGACCAGTTTTTTGGGGAAAAACCACACATATTTGACATACAATGAATCTAACACTTGCAGTTTATTGGCCCGTGGTAGACTAAGCTTAAAGACTTGCAATACATGCTTATCAGTCATTATTAATATCTAAGCAAATGTATTTGCAGGAATAAAACCAAGCTCTGTATTAAAAACACAGGGAATATATGGCCTCACAATGTTACATTTTGTAACTTTATAATTCTCATACATACATGCATATAATTTGGTATTGTCAAGACTTTCACTATGAACAAAGATTAAACATTGACATTTAGCCCCTTTGCTTTGAAGGAAATCCAGTCCTGAAGTGCAGTCCTTTACTAAGCTTCACAGCAAGCTTCTCTTTACATACATACTTCATGTACAGTCGTGACAAAGTACTTCTCTTAAGACATTAGTAATCAGAGTACTTAAATATAGCCCCCAGCATTCCCCTTTTTTTTTTTTTTTGTTTTGCAAGTAAGATCATTTCTCACAGCACAGCAATTCAGACTAAAAAGAATTTAATTTCCAGCATTCTTCAAATGTCATTTGTCTTCATGCTAGTAATGCAACACTAAACCACTATTCCCAAGTTATGACAGAATCAAATGAATTCTCAGTCCTGTGCCTGGAAATATATCTCCTGGCATTTTGAAACACCCACTATCTGTCACCCATCCACTCTGTGCCTCGCTGGCTGGTGTTATCACCTGGTATCCAGGGCAGCAGGGCAAGCCTCAGCTGAAGCTGGTACAGAATGACAGACTTGGCTGGGACCAAGTGGAGACACAGGTACTCCTTTTTTCTGACTGCCCATTCTAAACTTACGATGATCAAGTTATTTACACTTTAAACGGATGCTGCTGGATTAGCAAAAGATCATCTGTGAGTGCCTTGTACCTGAAAGAGAACCTTAGCCACATGTTTGTTTGCTACCACATCCTTACAAATATCTACTAGAAATATCATTCATAACCATGCTTTGTAGTCTGTATACATTAAAGCTCTGACATCAACGAGTCAGTTCTGAAGATTAAGCTTCATGCTGATACAGTAATCTCAGATTCTTTAGCAGCAAGATACTATTTTAACATATCAGTGCAAGGATGCAAGCCAAGGTTTGTGTAAACAAAGCAGCAGTGTTTAGTGGGTTTAACAATAAACAACTGTCAGAACACCTTAGCAGTTAAGTATAACAATTAGAAGTAGACGGTATGAAACAATTTCCTTATATAAATTATGTATATGGCTTCAAAAAGCACAACCTTAAGGTTTTCTATTATTCACAAGGTTATGCAGATATTGCTAAAGAAATAGGTAACTTGTTTGGACACAGAGCTTACCTGGCCTGTTCCTGTCTGTCAAGAAAATATTCAAAGACATTATTCATTACAACAACATCAGCCTTCTGCAGAAGTGAGGGCTGAGTACAGATGTCTGCATGAACCACCTGAAGGAGAGAAATTTCCCAAGGCATACATTAAGAGACAAATACAGCCTTTGAGAAGTCATGAAGCCTGTTAGCCTAATACAGCAGCTGCTACCACCCTTTTGAACCAGTCACAAAAACAGGTATTTCACTGGCTTTACAGTAGATAAAACTGACATACAGAATCATAATAACCTTTCAAAAATTTCTTTTAAAAATCAGATTTACCTTCTAATTAAGATACTTAATCCATTATGCTAAGTAAAATAAAGTACATCTGAATTTTGGTTTAGAACTGTGTGCCATAAGAGAAGATGGTGTATGTGATGGCTGTTACATTTAACTTCCCTGTATTTTATCACAAATGTCCAGTGATTTCAGGAAAGAAGTTAAGCTAGTTGAAGCTATTTTGAGGATAATAAAAGGCATCTCACAGGGTCAGTGGGTTACTGAAGGATTATAGCTAGAAAAGACACTACAGACCCAGATTTGACAGCTGAATTCTCACAATGCATATTGGGACTGGGAATGTTGGAAAGGCAGGATGCTCAGTAGCACTGGAGGATCCTACTAAACAACTGCCTCTCCAGTCAGCACAAGAGGGGCTGTTTTGATTTCATCTACCTTCACCTACGAAAAAGGATATTAGCACATCATGTCAAATTTCAAAACAAGCGAGACAGGAGAATATGGATGCTCATTAACACTCTGACGTGTTTGATTTCCTCCTAAGACAGAGAAATCTTACTGTCTTATACAATGATCCATGTGGGTCTTTTTCAACTCAGAATATTCTATTATTATGCATCCCAAATCTGATGAGAAATGTAAACTGGAATGTCTTTTGAAGGGATAAGTAGTAGTCAGCATGGATTCACTGAAGTCCTGCTTAACCAATCTGATTGACTTCTGTGATGAACCAACTACCTGCATGGATGAGGGGAGATCAGAGGATTTTGTCTACTTTGACTTCAAGAAGGCTCTCAACTCTGTTTCTCACAACATCCTCAGAGGTAAACTCAGGGTATGAGGGTTGGATGAGTGGACAGTGAGGACTGAGAAATGACTGAATGGCAGATCCCAGAGGGTCCTAAACAGTGGCACAGGGTCTAGTCGGAGGCCTGTCACTACTGGTGTCCCCCAAGGCTCAGTACTGGGTCCAGTATTGTTTAATTTATCCACAAATGACTTGGATGAAGGAGAGATGCCTCCTCAGCAAGTTCACTGATGACACAAAGCTGGGAGGTGTGGCTGATGCTGTGGAGGGATGGGCAGAGAGGAACCTTCTGAAATTCAGCAAATGCAAATGCAGGGTCCTACACCTGGGGAAGAATAACCCCGTGCACAGGACAGGATACTAATGGCAGTTCTAATATTTTAAACCACAACTTAGAAAGATGCTTAAACTACTGGAAAGTTCATGTTGATGTTTCCTTGACTTGAATGATACTTAAGACTTGACCTAAAATTACTCTGCATTTACAGAGTCAGTGACCATACTGACCAAAGTGACCTAAGCACCTCATTCTCCCCAAACATATCCTCACTCCTCTTGGGGAATTTGGGACCACATAAGCATGTCTGGCTGCACAATGAGCCAGAGTCAGACACTGCTCTAGTCAAAACTCCAGTATTGCTGGGTTTGGTTTCAGCTGAATCCGTTCTCTGATCTGCCTGGCTGTGTGCCGGCACAACAGAGGAGGCAGCAACTGATTTTAAAGCTGCCCTGTCATCCAGTGGAATACACACCAAGCCTTTCATCACTACAGTCAATTTCTGAATTGAAGTCTCAAGTTTCCTAAGATCTGTTCAACTGTTTACTTTCCTCCCAGTAGCTAAATGTTTCCTCAAATGGCAAAAGATGCTGAGCAACCTTCTATGTACTTTAACAAACCAAGTGTTGACCAAAGAAACACAAGGTTCACTCAAAGATTTAGCCACTAAAGGTACCATTTCACTTTGCTATCCTTTAGGAACATATTCTAATAAAAATTCAGAATATCTTGAAAAAAACAATCTCTATTTAGGAAGAGTCTCTAGAATGTTTTTCAAACTTGTGTCATGAATTATGACCAGCATCTGGATTCTCACAATTTTTCAACCTGATATGCACCTCTAGAGAGAACTCATTTGGGGGTGAAATAAAAATATAAGATTGAAATGTTCAAAGCAGTGTGATAACAGGAGTCACATGACTAAATTAGCATTTAATGAGACTCAAATAGCTAAGTCCTCCGGCACTGCTTTGAAAACCTATTATCTTATCTTTATGCTCCAAAATGAGTACTTCAGCAGAATTACAAGGTGTGAAGAAAATACATAAAAGCTTACAATAAAAAATATACAGGGCTGAAAAGCATGCTTATAGATCTCCAGCTCCACTGAACTGACAGAGCTCCTAACTGTACTTTCAGTTTCATCACAGTAAAGTGTTAGGAACACAAAACACAAGCAAAACCCAAAGGTTATGGATAAACTGTCAGCAACTGCGACTGAATTGAGCAACCCAATGGTACTGCTTACCCTGTGTTAAATATTAAATATGTTTATTATTTCTTTCTAGGTTAAAATGAGGTTACCTTAATACCCAAGAAATTACCATACTCAGCAGTTCATGTGACTCCATTCAAGAGCACATGCATGCAACACAGGATTAAAGCCAGTATTCTACTTAGCATATTCTATATACCAACTTTTGCTGGTAACAAAATAATGGGTCTGGTCCAGAAAGGAATTTATTTTTCCTCTTTAAAATATTAGTAGCTATTCCCATAATGAAACTAGGGAAATGATTCCCATAATGATAGCATTTTGTTAGAAACCCTTATTTTTGTGGAAGGTACACATACACTGAGATTCTATGAAAGGAAATATGAATAATTTTAAGTCCTTTAAGTATCATTAGATGAAAATTCGCAAATCCTACAAACATTTTTCTGCTAACAAAAGTGAATCACAGACATTTACTTTTGTGTTTGTGACAGAAATTCTTTATACACTCTGTTTCACAAAAGTGAGTGGCAATGATGTCATTGATTTCCCTGGGAGAATCAGCTAAGATTATCTGTTTTGTATGAGCCAATGGGTAAGTCCAGTCACGAAAAAGGCTAAATGATAAATATTTTGATAATTTCCCTCTTCCTCTTTACTATAAGGTCTTTTTTTCCTAATGCAAAGCCTTTATTTAGGATCAAAACAAGCAAAGGCAGATACTTCACAGAATGCTGATTTACCAGCCACTCACTTAAACCAGATACCTTGTACACAGTGGTTAAAAATACAAAAACTAAAATATATATTTAAGTTACCTTTATTCTGTCAATGAACTCATACTTTGTAATCATCATTTCTTGCAACTGGCAAAAGTCTGCATTCATTTCTACTCCATACAGCTGGGAAGCTGAGCTATAAAGATAGCCCTACATTAGGAAAAGGAAATTTAGTAACTGTGATGCGTTTAAAACAAGTTCAAAATTTTCATTTAAAAAGAAGAGAATTAAACACGAGTTAAGATTAAAGAAACATTTTAAAATAGTGAGTTGAGAAATGTCTTTCAGTGGATGTGAAATATTTTTCAGAGCTAAGCTCCTGATTTGGCAATTCCTACTTAAGCCTCACAAATGTTAGTAAGAGATCCAAAATGATACATCAAAATAACAAGAAAAGGAAAGCTCTAAGTTCACTTGAACTGCAAAACAGATGGAAAATAGTCTAAGAAAGAAAAAAGGTGTACAAAACAAATTATGAAAATAGTGTGAAGGAAAAAGACTCTATATGTCATTTTTGCTCCTTGGGAGAACTGAAGAAGAAAATATCAAGAGAAAAGAACAAAAACATGAGACAGAGTCAAAATGAGTGAAAATGGAGGACAATATACCAATAATATAGTGGGATATTTTGATATCAAGTCTTTGTCAGCTTCTCTAAATTACTGTATTACTGACATTTTCAGATGCTTCACACAGATATATATGCAAAAAAAAAAAAAAAAAAAAAGCTAAATTATGACTTAATATTAAGCTCAAAAAATACTTCCGTTTTGGACTAAGATTTTGGGAAGCTGTTGGAAATGTTAAGAAAAAAAGTACAAATACTTGAGCGAACAGTGCCCTAACAAAGATACTGCTTCAAGTGCCACTGTCTCCATTGAGCACAATAATTACACTTAGCCAACAATGGCAAAGACAAACAATGCTGAAGATACAGAATATCTGAGATCCACATGTATTACAACTTCATTATTAAGGTTTTCTGAAACCATTCAACTCAGAGAGTAGAAAAGCAACCTGTGAAGTCACCCCTCCTCCAAGGCAAGACCACATTACAAAGCAGAACTCTTTTTAGAAAGAGTGCTTTGAAAGTATCTTCTACTATAATAATAATACAAGCATTTAAATACTTCAAAAAAAATTCAGCCTAGCCGAAGTGCTACCATTTAAGGACCCAATGCTGCAAATATTTACAAATGGGAGTAAATTTCCTCATTTGAGTGATCCCAAAATTAGACTATTCAAATGAGTAAAATCACATGCTCAAGTGTTTGCAAGATTGAGCCCTAAACACACATTGACTTTTTTAAGAAAGTAGTAATGTGTGTTTTGCATTGCTGTTGGCCATATGTTGTACCAGCCATGCCAAAAGCAATCAAAATTGCACTCAAGTTTCTCGAAGAAGTATTTTATGTGCATTTTAAAATGCAGAGCAGGACAATATGTTTTTGGAGACAAATTCATATCAAAGTCTTCCTTTGTATATTTTAACAGTTTATCAGCTTCATAAAGGAATTTAACATAACTAATCTATATATAGGCATGGTCAAGACATAAGAGGACAAACTCACTTATGAAAGAGACAGCAGGAACGAGCAAAAGAGCAGCATGTGTGACAGCAATATGCTACTCTGTTGGACAACAGACTTTTCCTCTCCATAAGCAAGATCATTTGTAGTCCCTCGTGTGAGGAACAGAGGAAGAACTGAAATTGCTAGTAAACAGCACTTTATACTATTCAGAGAGTCAGATCAGAGGTGCCTCTCAGAATGACCCATCCAATATTGAGTAATGAGAGTAGGCAGTCAGAAAAGAGGGAAAATGTTTGTCACAGTAATAAAATATGAATTCCTGTGCTGGAAGTTACCGCAAATAGCACTGCACCAAGCCTGGAGCCAACGTCAACCACTACCTTTCCTGTCAGGTCAGGCAGTACATGGTGATAAAGAAACTTCAGTTCCATGAGGGAAAAGGAATGCGAAATAAACTCTGGGAAATAAGAACAGAACAAAGGTGTTGGGTGGGCAGTACTAACTACTGCGTAATTAACCATTGAAATAGTAACCTGAAGAATTATCTTCACTGAAAACTTGTGTGGTTTCTTGCCTGCACTAGTGCACTAGGGCAGGGTTTGCAAATCAGAGGTAATCAGCCAAGCAGCCTGTCCCAAGTCTGAGGATTCCTTGCCTTACATGGATAATTTTGAAATCCTTCATGAAACTGAATTACCTTTTTCTGCACAGTAACGTATGTTAAAGAATACAAAACAAAGTAACTTGGAACTGTTTAACTGAAAAAGGAAACGTAGTAAACACAATTTGTGCAAAACTTTTTATGGGCAGACATATTAATAGCTTTAATTTCAATTCCAAAGTTTTAATGAATAGAACGTTCTCCATATAAACCGTTCCCTCAATGGCTGTGCTCTGCTGACAACAGCACTGATCTGTACCACACCACACACAAGCTTTAAGACAGATGGTGCTTTCTACTGTTTTTTGGCATGAGAGAGGAAACCCAGGCTACTGCACGGACTCTAAGTAGTTGTCTTCCTCTTGCATCTTCCTCTCCAGTGGTACATAGCTAGCCTCTTACCTGCCCAGTTTTTGTGGGCAACAATTGTCACTCATACACTGCAAATTAATTCAACTTACATGTGTAGAAGGATCCTTCCATTGGTTATGGGAAATAATTTTGGCCTGTATATTGCAGCAGACTGGACAAAGTCCCCCATCAGCTGGATGTTGTCATGTCCAGCTGAGTCACTGCACAAACCAGTTTAGTTAAACTCAATTTGTTTCTCCTGTTCCCGAAAGAACACTTACCTAAAGATGCAGTTTTGTATGAGCCACACTCTGTGCAGTAGCTCCTACTCATTTTCCCCTCCTCACACAATGAATCAACAACATCATCATCATAAAGGAATGCATCAACATGAATCATGGGCAGTGGATGCTGGTGTATCTGAGAAGAGGAACAAAACCTTAGAAAGACATAACCAAGTCTCTTAACTTCACTTACACCGTGAAGTCACACATTAATTGTCCCACAATCCCCAAGATCCCCACTTTCCCAAAATCCCCAAGATCCATGTTTTTCCCTATGCAACAATTACAAAAAAAAAAAAAAAAAACAACCAAAAAAAAAAAAAAAAAACCCAAAAAAAACCCCCAACAAACTACAGAAATCCTGCATGTAAACTGAGTCATCAAATTCCACTGAGATAGCCAGTAAGTGGTAGTTGACAAACAAAAGCAAGCTGGCTTTGATATCTGAGTAGGGAGCCCGATGTGAATTTTGTCTCTTTAGTGCTTGCTTGGCTATAGAGAACATACAGGGTAAAGGAAGCTTCTTCTCCTCTTTTAATGAGGAGAATCTAACTTAAATTAGCAGAAACGTCAATTCTGCTTCTCAGCCTCAACTGACTATTTTCATCATTGTGCCTTATGCCTCTATCCAGAAGCACCCCTAATTAACATGGGTGTCACCTTCAATCAAAAATATACTAGTTGGGATGCTTGCCTTCTCATCATTTCAAGGGGCATAATCTTCATCCTCCTACTCAGCTTTCCTCCCTTTTCCAGGCTTGCTGCATATGGCCAATCCACTTCTCCCACTGAAGAGCCACACACCACTTTTCTGGGAAATGCATTAACATTCCTTGTATACTGACAGGTCAAATAGGAAAGGTGCACTCTCCTCCCACAGGACTCACAGCCCACCTGTTTCTGAGCCACAGGAATCTGAAAAGAGCTGGATATCATCTCTGGGCTGCCCACATTATGGCAACAGCAAAACATTGGCCCTGTGCTCCTGTTGTCTTTAAGGGGGCTGTTGGAGTTATGGAGCTAGCATTGAAGAATCACTGTGACAGGTGTCATACCACACAGAATGAAAGCTATTCCAAATAACATATGATCAAAGTATTAAAAACTATGAAGCAACTTTCCTGGAGTCATGCAAACATAGAGCAACAGACCTGAGAACCAAAGTGAGATTTCCTATACTTCAACCCATGTTCATTCTCTACTATGAACTACTGCTAAAAATGCTATCAGAATAAATGATGTGCTTCAGCAAAAGCAGACCGTAACAATTAGCTTACTTTCTGAACAGCTTGATGTTCCGAAGTAAACATTGCCTCGATGGGTAAACGATTCCGCAAATCTTCAGCGATATTTCTGAGCACAACATCATTGTTACTCACCACAAGCTCATCAAAGTCATCTACAAATCAAGACAAACAAAAACCCCTGAACAATCATATGCAGATCATGTGGACTAAGTGATGACCAGTACAATACAGTTGCAAGACGTAAACAACACCAGATGGGTAAGATTTATTATTCACGTGCATTTTTCAGCCTTTGTTAGCTTTTCCAGCCAATGACAGATTTGGATTGTAATAACTTTGCCACGTAAAATAAATGCACTGCTTCTCTGAAATCTCAAATTATTTTCATATTTATAAATTTATAACTCACATATGATGGTCTGGGCTGCCACCAAAGTGATATTGTTTCAGTTTAAGATATAAAAAACATCAAAGATGTTTTTGAACTGTTGGAGAAATTACAAAACTGAATAGTTGCCTGAATGCAGGCTTTTTTTTTTTAAATACAAATTTCTTTTTATACGTATGATCTTTCTAATAAACTTACAAAAAAAATTGGGGATAATGCACAGTTCAACAGTTCAACTCACAATACATTTTACATTACCTAAACTATCAAAATATTTCAAATGAGAAGGAAAATAGGAATGGATGTAAACCAATACATTTTTGCAAAACCACAGTGTAAATTTTGCTATTTTTCCAGGATCTTCCTCTATTACTTTAGCACATTTTTTTTAAAAGACATCTAGAAAAAAGATTCAGAAGGAAACCATGTGAACACACTAATCTTTTCTTCTTCCAAGGCTCAATCAATAGCGTCATTACTTCTTCAAACTGCTCTTTTAAAAATGACTGTTAATGCTGGGGACTGTACAACCACCCTTAGCCATCTATTCCAGTGCTTGACTAGCCTTAATATTAGATAGAAAAACCCTTCTTAATTACTCATTTAGATGTCCTGTGCCACTACTTAGTATTTTCTGCCCCATTCACAATGGAAACAGAAAACTTTGTTCCTTTGTATTATACAGTAACTATTTACTTCCCTGAAGACTCATCACATGTCACATCAGTCTCCTTTCCAAGAAAAAACAAGATTTGCCTATCCAGACCCTTCCTGTTTTTTTTTTTCCCCTAGTGTGTGAGGATTCTCAACACTTCCCTTTGGATCTGCTGGACTCTCTCATCCTTTCTGACCTGCAGTATTGAGAACCAGACACTCCAGCTAAAGGTTTACTTACTCTTACCAGAGTTTTCACATCTTGCAGCCAACATCCTGCTTATATCCCCCAATTTCATGTTAAGAGTATGTTCCTAACTGGCATTCAGCACAAGATCTGCTGTATGCCTGTACTCCGCTCTTTTCTTGTTATGTTTTCCTCAAAAGAATAACTAGATGAAATTCCTTTTTGTCTGGACATCTCACTGCTTTGAGGATTATTGAACTGGTTCTAAACAAAGGCACATCTCAGGTCAAAGCTACAAACCCATAAAAGACAACCACCACCACCAAAAAGCAGCCACTAATCTAATCCTGAAAAAATATACCAAACCTATCTACTGAGTCTCATCTAAAACCAGACACATATGTCCCCTCTTCTCCACCCCTTCTGGTTTGCTTCTTGTTTTACTTAGACTGCCAACATGTTGGGCAGTGACTGCGCCTTTTTACATGTACGTGCATCACTCACAAAAAGGAAATTTGACAGCTTTTACAGGTGTTTTTTTAAAAAAAAGCAAGGTTTGTTAGCATTGCTGTTCCAGGTGGGAATATTAGTACAGAAAAGTGTGATGGCAACCAGGTTCAAAATAAATCTACAGAACACACTACAAGTTTCTCTATGCTAATAGATTTAATCTTTCCCATGGATGATAGGAAATGCTAGAAAGAGTGAAAAATTTTAAGGCTAGTATAGGAATCAGAAACCTGCAAACCTTTAAACTATTAAATGCCTCTGAAATGGTTTTTGCTTAAGCACTGTAGTGAGAGCAATATGATTAAAGAAAGCATCATTCATTAGTGCAAAAGGCTCTCTTCTTTAGACTGCAAATGTAAATGGTTCTTTCAACACAAGTGAAAATGGACCCAAACAGATAATCCTGAACACCCTGTAGTAAGCAGCAGAAACTTTAAATTATCTGTATTCCCCTAAGATATATTTGGTTTAAAATGTATTAAATGTACAGTAGTAATGCTCCAAAGCCCTGATGGACCATTACCATTGGTAGTTGTTATACTTCAGGAAGGCAATTCACAGCTCCAAAGTGCTTACAGTTAGGTTCTCCAGAACTTCAGCCCCTAAAAAGATGCACACTTTGCAGCGAGGAACAGACAGAGGCAGCAGCTGCAACAGCAGCAACACCAACACAACAGGTGCAATGCAGCAGCTCCAGCTTGTCAGCATTTTAATTTGAAACCTCTAATGAGCAGCCATCCTGCTAAACTCACAGCCCATCCAACAATTTGCAGATTTGTTATGAACATCCCAAAAGCAAAATGATTTTTCCAACCAGCTCAGGGAAGATTTCTATGGACATGACACAGCACAGTAAACCCAGGTATTATGGGAAGGGAAGGTGGGCAAATCTAACTGTAGCTTAAATGAGACCATCAGCACCACAACATGCCCTCAGAGTGCCAAGGTGCCAGTTTGCTGAGGTGGATAACATCTGAAGGAGCAAGGGGAAAAGCTGTGCTACAGACAGAACAAGAGAGTAGAAAGCTGATATTAGCAGCTGAACAGATCAGTGCCTGTGGGCAATAAGCCTCTACATCTGGCACTTGCTTTAAAACAATACTATTACTATGCAAGAGAGCTCATCCAGCTGTTACAGTGCCTGTTAAGAGTATCAAATTCATATATAGCATTTAATGAAATGCAGGGAAATGCAGGAAGTGTTCCTAGACCACCAGGCCAGCCACATCACACCACAAATACAGAACTTCAGCTCTCTTCCTCCCAGATCTAGTGTGTCAATAGGATCTGCTCCCTCACAGCACGGGTGACCTTTCCTGGCCAACATTAGTGACAGACAGCTCTCCAGACTATACAGTGCTCCAGCTCCACAGAAGAGAAACACACACCTTCAGTGGGACACAGGCAGCACATCCATCTTCCTCTAACCCAGAATATCCCTTCCCTGGGTTCAGTCTGTACAGTACCTGTCACAATGCTGACCCACAGGGCCCTCTGATCTCTCCTTGTGAAACAAAGCATGACACACATGAGTTCTTGTATGCTCTGTACAAAACAAGTCCTAAGGACAACACATATGCAGCTCAAAGAAAAAATGTTGAAACACTGACCCTGAAAAATAAATGACAAATGGAAATGCTCCTTTCTAACTATCAGTTAATATTTTAAAGCACAACAAGCAGGAACAAAAAAGGTGAAGGAGGTCTGAACAGACTTCATCCGAGATGACAAAATGGCAGCTGGAGCAGAAGCTGTGTGCAACACTCCACACCTGTGTGTATAGTCTGTCACTGAACTCTGACACGGAGACTCGACTCCTTCCTGTCAAAGCAAGAAACAGCAACAGCTACCACAATAACTCATTTACTTTTGCAGTATGTAAATATTTGTAGATTGCCACCAAGTAGGAAACACCAGTGCCAAATATGAAAATATGCATCTCTGCTGGTACAGTTTTATCAACTCCACCCTCGTGTTTAACAAATTGTTCACTCTTGAGAATCTCAGTATCGCCTTAAAAGGGATCTTCAAAGAAGAAACAAAAATAGCAAAGTATTTTATATATTATTTTAGTACCTGTTACATACGTGAAATATATACAACATGAAATGGAGAGTGTGCAAGCCAACTGTGCTCACTGAACAGACAACTAACCAGGAAAGAAATGAACAGTTCATGAAACACTGCAAGATGAATCACAATCATTTGTTTATGGAGGAAGTCTGAGTGCGTAGTGTTTGTATTTTACTTCAAAAACCGGTTCCACTGGATTTACTCAACATGCATTTATAAAATTTAATTAACACATTGCAAAAAGCCTCATTATCACCCTGGTACTAGTCAGCCTTTGTACAGAAGCTAAGAAAACATCACAAAGCCTCACACCAGATAGAGAGCACCGCTACACCAACATCTGAACGCCCCTGCAAAATACAGGATTGAAGACAAGCAATGTGTGATTTCCAAATGACAACAGAAGATTACATGTCACTGAAGGAGAGGAAAGAAGAGGATTTAGCAAAGGCAACCACAGCAGCAAGCACCTTATGGTCTTCTCGATATATACTCCAACTCAGAAGAGAAAAGCAAATATTAACAGCCGTGTTACTTAATATGAAGTTAATTTAGTAATTCATGTTTTACTGATACTGGAGAACCAAGTCAAGGAAGAAACACCACATCCCTAAAACTTTAGTATTGCCCTTTTTGGCTAAATAATTTGAGAAACAATATGTGACCTTAGTATACCAAGTACCTCAGGAATTCTAAATATTATTTCTGTCCCAAAGCATACATAGTTATTGGTAGAAAGTAACTGGAATCTTTTTCCAACAGAAATATAACCAGAGTTCATTTTATTAGTTTAAGTCTTTTACACTGGTTAATTGAAAGAAGCTTTGAAGTTAAATTCTAAACAAGGTAAGTCTCATACTGTTTCACAATCCCTAGCTTCCCCCACCATTATTACGTTTCAATGACTAACAACTTAGAAGTATTTGGTATTCTTCTTGAGACCTCTCTCACACAGGTATCACTTGTCACAACAAAGGAAATTAATGCCAATTCCCACAGTTGATGATTCATCCAATTATAGGTAACATCCCATTTTAGTTTATCAAACAGAACAGTGGAAAAGATTTTTGGTATGGTATCATTTTAACAAATAAATGTTAACATGAAAATGCTATGTTATTTTTATCTCTTCTGAAAGGATATTTCAGTTGAAGAAATCACTTCTACAAATTTGGATATGAAGCTTTGTACTAAATTACTTTTTCACATACACACAAACACAAAAACACATACTATACTTGTCACATTACAGAAACCCACATTTTCATCCTTTTTAAAGATACTTATTCCACTTTAGTTTCACCTGCAGACTGAGAGGAAACATTTAAAGAATCTAGTTTTTTCTTATCCTACTTCCCCTTCTTCTCTTGTGAAAATTACCATCTGATAACTTTACCTATTGGAGAACATGCTAATTCCTAGATAATAAAACACATGATAGAACATGCTGGACACACTTGGTCTGCTCCTAGAGTATGATGAGAAGTTTCTTCTCTGTATGCAGAACACTGTACTAAAGCAGCACATCCTCCATAATCAGTTAGGTTGATTTTATCAGATACTCCTCCCTCACTGCCTGTTAAAAGCCTGAATTTACAGCACTGACTGCCCTCAACTTTCAAGTCACAAGATTAAATTGTACACCAACATCTTAAAAAGCTGGTTTGCTCCCAGGACAAGTGAATCCATAAAAAAAAAATTGTACTTAATTATATGCTGTTTATTCTTAAATTAGAAGATTTGCAGTGATTATTATTCAATTACTATTTTGAGTGATACTCTTGATATTGAATATTTTGAGTATGTAGGAACAATCAGCAATTCAGACCAGTATATCACTTTGAAATCTTAGCTTCATATTTAAGTTTCTCAGGAAATGCACAGATTGGAAAAGGATTGTAGGAGTGTTTTATTACACGGTTACATGAACTGAAAAAAAATTTAGAAGTTAGTATCACAACAGTAAGATTTAGCCCTGACAGAAAAATATTTCAATCTTAGACCCCATGATAGAACACAAGAAGCAAAAAGGGTCTTATCACCTTATCTGTGCTTCACTGACATTGACTGAGAGACAGGCTTTGTAATCTGCATTTAAGTGCTAAATACAGCAAAAGCATTCAGTAGTTGCCAGTAGGTAGAGTGGTTTGGTGACTTCAATCTCAAACTCAAGATTCAGATTCCTCTATTTACTTCCCCTGATTCCTGTGTCGTTGCTCATGTAAACAGAAAGCTTGGTCAATTCACTGGTTATCTCCTCCAGCATCCATTCTTACCAAATGCAGTCTTTTCTGCTACTGAAAATTTTAGAAATCTGGGCAGTGGAGGTTCACATGGCCCCAGCTATACATCAAATGCTGGGACCCAGCTGAGGGGGATTGTCAGGGGGGTTTCCCAAGTGGTTTGAATTAGCTCTTGGGCTTCACCCAGGTTTTCTTAGCTGGAACTTCTGGAACATGGTTATTGCAAAAGGATATTAAAGCATTAATCATCTGATTATAAAAAAGTTAAGACACCAAAGGTTCCTGTTCTTTTTTCCAACTCTTCTTATTTAATTTTCTTTAAGATCTAAGACAAACTCAAAAGAAAAGCTGGAATGCAAGTCACCGTGAAATGACGTACATCTCACTGCAGTGTGTGGGAAGAGCTGGCTGATTGTGAAACAGCCCAGCAGTGTTGCTAAGCAGCTGCTTTAAAACAGTAATGTCTTCCATCACACATAAATATTCGGAATTTCTAAAATTCTCAATACGGAAAACCCCACATTCATAAGAAAAGAAAATAAAATAGAAAAAACAAATAGAATCTTTCATTCACTTACAATCCCGTAATTACCAAGTAAGGTTAGTCAAAAATCATTGGAGTGAGAACATGTACAATGTTCTTTCAGTTCAAAATATGTAAGACTTCACTTTAGTTAAGCTAAGTCGCTTTACTATAAATCAATTTGTATCTTCCATGGAAATTTGTCAATAACATTTCATGCCTTCGGTGTTTGAGTCAGAAAACACCAACTAAGTTACAGTAATAACTAAGGCTGTCTTTGCAACAACACTAATCCTAAAGGTCAACCACTTTATTCAGGACTTTAAGGATGCATGAACACTTTAATTCAGAGAGAGGTGTGAAGAAGGAAAAAGCCTGACTCCAGCTAACGCTGGAATCATGCCCAGTTCTCCTCAGCTGGAGGTAAAAGTATAAGCTCAACATCTTGACAGAAACAGGAATGGGATACAGGAGGAGAAGGCAGAGAACTGACAGCCCACAGAAAAATTTTGTCTATGGGGATACAATTTTTGTTTCCATGTATCCTATCCTAGTTTTCATTCAGAATATTATCTCCCCATCCCCACCACTTTTTTTTTTTCCTTTTGTTCATCAGAGATTTGTTTCCTTCTTACATCTGTATCACCAAAGACCAGGCTTTTATTTCTGTGTGGCACAAAGATCTGGTAAATTTTTACGTCTCACATAAAACAGTCTTCCTTATGCACACAGAGAACACCACATTCCCTACTCAGGTACAGCAGCAGAAACCTCTACCAGCTTCTCATTATCCTCAGCCCAAGCACTATTAATTATCACAGGACTATCTAGATGTCCTTAAATGGGCCAGTATAATTAAAATGGGCAGTATAATTATTGAAATGCAACAATTCTGAGGGGGAAAAAAAGCCACACTAAAAAAAGTTACTGCCAGTGTGCAGCCACAGAAGCAGCTCAGAGAAACAATACAAGAGAAGCATCATCAAGAGTGCTATGCTGGGTACATCACAGAAGATATTTGCATCTCTGAGGAAAATGCAAAAAAACTAAAGGAATGTGACCTGCAGGACAAATGCCTCTGCTCACTTACTGTCCAATGCTGCAAGAAAATAAAACCAGTAAGGTACAGATACTGATCTGGTACTCTAGTCCTGTACTCATCAGGGTGAAAGAAATAAAGCAGGACATAGCCACTCGGACAAAGGAGATTAGAAAAAGAGGAACAGGTTAATGACCCAAAGAGGCAGTGAAACATACCTTAATTATTTAACAATTAAAAGTTTTTACACATAGGCATAAAGCTTTCTCATTTCCACTCTTCTATCATATATCTACATGTAAACATATATGTATGTTAGAGAGGGAAACTGCAGGACCTTGAGAGAGCAAAAGAACTGGGTAGACATTGATATTTTTCCACTGGCAACTTTTACAAGCATTAGCATGAGGCCAAATTCTACAGGCTCTAAATGTCTCCACAAATGTGGCAATCAGGGAAATAAGATTAGCCTAAGTCATACATTCTAAATGACACACCTTGGAACAAATATGGTTGCCTTTAGTTCTATACTGCACCAGCACTTCACAAAATACAATCACAAAATGTAAGCAAATGCCAAGGATGCAGATGACTAAAGTACAACTTGATTTCTCAGAATATTAATTAATAGCATCCAGTCAGGATATTAACAAGGAGCATTTTTGAAAGAGAAAATTAGCATAAAATATTATCAGAGCACAAGCCTGTAAGCAAAGAATCCCAAACCAAGAAAGATTCTGAAGATGGCCTAGACTACAATTAGACTACAGAAATGAAATTATATTCATTACTTCAGCTGCTTGATCCTGATTGCCCTGTCCACTCTGTTCCCTGATCAGCAGCATATGAGCTGAAAAGCCATTGAATGGCAACTGTAAAGCTAATTATGTTTAAAGATGATGCACATAGTGAAGCATCAGCAATCACTATTTATGTAAACAGTATAAAAATAGAAGGACACAGATTGCTCAGATGTACAACACACACAAAGTAGTTCAAGATTTGGAACCTAATCTACTTTTTAGGTTGTATGTTAATTATGAAGAGGAAATATGAGGCAAGAATATATGTATCATTTCACTGAAAGAACTAGGCAAAAAGCTGAATCATTAAAATTCAGAAAAAATATTTGAGAGATAAAGGCTAGTGACCATAGCACACTATCTTTCACAGAAACCATCTATGGTAAGTTTTGGAAGTTGTAACATAAAAAAAAAAAAATTAAAATTTATTCACTGACATAGGATTTTGGAGTCTACATAAACTATGCTAAAACATTGACTAAAAATTCCTATGGCAGAAGTAAAACACGATCATAGAATTGAAACAGAGAAAATAGTAAGTATTAGTTTCCTAACTGAAACAGTTCAGCATTTTCAAGTTTCACTAGTGAGCTCCCATGTGCTTTACTATATTTGTAAAGGGGTCAGGAAGCTGAGAAAGCTATATATGCACACCACACAAACCAATACAGTGTGTAGGAGCTGAATGATTTGTGTTAAGTGAATAACCAATATGAATGACTGCATGTGAAATTCAATGAGATTTTTATATATTAGAGCATATGGGAGAGAAGAAAACCACTTCTAACAAGATTATTTACAGTAACCCAAGCACTGTTTAGGAAGTGTCCAGACAAGACCTCAAAAATGGAAGGATGCAGCATTGCTTATAGCAGATTGCTCTAGCATTATGCCTATACACATAGGCAGATATGTGCATGTGCAGATATATACATACACATAAGTATGTGTACATACACAGCAAAATAAGAACATTTAATTGCAATTAACACTAACTACTTCCATCAAAATTCAGCCTTCAAGTCCTAGGGAGGCCTGTCTGTGCTCTAGTCATGAAGACTGACTCCCAGATGCTCTGGAACATTTGGCAATGTCTCTCCTAGGAAAGAGCCCGTTTGGGTGGGAGGGCTGCATGCCTGTCACAGACAGCAAAGGCTGTTCCCAGCTGGTTCTCTTCCCATAAATCCAACAGAGGGCCTGCTCCACCTGGGAAAGATCTGTCCTGCCTCTCCATCTGAGTGACTGTGGGAGCCACAAACCACAGGGCAACAGTGAGTGAGTTTGCAGCTCCAAGTACCTAGACAGCTGGACAACTCCCTGGTGTCAGAGCTGGCCTTTGTGCCACAGTCCCTGTGTGTTGGCTTAGGAAGTTGTTCTCACCCTAAAGGGGACATGCTGGAGCAAAGACCCAAACAAGAAGCACAACCCAAGCAAAGCAGGGCATTACTTGGGGAAGTACTGTACCATATGATGAATTTCTGCTAACACACAATCATCAGGGTAGGTTTACCATCCCAGGAGACTATCATTAATAAACAGGACACACTCGTACTGGATGCTTGAGACTGAGTCACAGAATTGGAGGGGGTCTTCCAGATTCCTATCTGCAATGGAAAAATGCACATGCCCCCTGAGACTAAGCAGCGTTTAGACTTTATTCAGCACAGCACTATGTGACTACAGCTTTAACACACTGCCTGTGTTGAAGTTACCCGTGTTATCCTTTGGGTTCAGTTGCAAATTTACAGCTTCTGCACTGACCCACATTTCCTTTCTTCATCTGCCACAAAATGCTTGATTGTAGCACGCTGATGAAATTACATCCAGGCATAAACGAGGGAGTAACCAGAAAGCTATGTTAACTTAAGGTGACATCGAGTGCGGAAAGCAGCGTTTGTAAATGAGCTCAAGCCGCTATTTCCAAACTTCTGAAGGGCTGCTGTGAACACGTGTGAAGCTGCACAAGACACGCCTAAGACCCAGAGCCGTGTCGGCGCGGCAGGAGCAGCCTGGCTCCGCACGGCCTGCGCTGCCTTTGAGGGTCACCCCGCAGCCCGTCCTGCTCCGCTGCTGCGCCCGCGCCCCGACACCGCGGGCTCCTGGCACGGCTCCCGTGCACGGCCCGAGTGCCCCCGGACGGGCGCCGGGCCGGTGTCCGCCGGTACCTTGAGAGCCGCGTGCCCCCGGAAGGGGGCGGTGCCCCGGCCCGGGCACGCTGCCCCCCGCCCAGGGTCCGCTCCCCCCTCCCCCGGCCCTGGCAGCCGCACCGCCTCACGCACGTGCGCGCCGCGGGAGGAGCCCTCCCTCCGCGCGCCCACCCACCCGCACGTGCGCATGCGGGAGGGCGACACCGACCGGAAGGGGCCCTGTGCGCATGCTCGGCCCCGCCCTTCGGCGCCCTCTCCTGGCGTGTGCTCGCGCTGCCGCTTGGCGCTGCGCCCGGCCCCGCCCCCGCTGAGGTGCGGCCGCAGGGGGAGGAGCTTCGCCCTTCCTGCCCCGCCCACAGCAATCCCTCTCTCCCCGACTTAAGGCGGTGCTGCACAATTCTCGCCTGTGCTGAGCCGGGTGCCGGGTAGATGTTTACACGGTGCCACCTTAACGACGCAGCGGTCCCTCGCACGTCCCGGAAACGGAAGGCAGCGGGGGCGTGCGGGGTGACGGCCAGTGCTGACGTTTGCCTGGTCGGCGGCGGCCGCGGCTCCTCGCGATCCGGCGGAGTCTCGCTGGGCGGCCTTGCCCCGGCGGGCTGGGCTGGGCACAGCTCCGCCGCGGGCCCCGCGCCGCGCTCCCGGTGAGTGCCCGCGCTGCCGCCGTGGCCGCTCCGTAAGCGGGACCGGGACCCGCGGCGGTTTTTCGTGACGCGGAGGGGCCCCCGGCCCAGTCCCGGCGGGGAAGGAGGGGGCACCGGTGCCTGCCGACCCCGGGGATAGGCGGCCGTCTGTCCTGCGGCAGCCCGGCCGGGCAGGGCCCTCAGTCCGCCGGAGCTCCGCGGGAGCAGGTCTGGCCTCCCGGCCCCAGCTGCTGCCGGCCGCAGCACCGGGACGGGACCGGCCCCGCCCGTGTCCGCCCGCTGCCCGTGCCAGCCCAGGGCACGTATACCGGGCTCTGCCCTCATCCTTTTCCCGTGAAAACGAGGGCATTGGGCCATAAGCGAGACGGCCGTTCCCTGCTGCTGCCTTGGGGGCGCCTTCCCGTCGTCAGCCGGGTAATTTTAGAAGGTGGAAACTCCTCATTTGAGGTTGAGCGTAGCTACGGTAGCTCCAGGCATTCCCAGATGTGAAACTGCCGCCTCTCCGTTACGGTGTTAGTCTTAATCCACGCATGTATACATGTAGTACAAGTTTATTGTGCCGTTTTTAAGTGTACCTTTTGCTTGTTATCTTTTTAAACAGCTGTTATCTTTTAAAGCAGCTGTTTAAACTGCTGTTACCTGTTAATCTTATTTTTTTTTCAAAACCCTGCACATTAGATATTGCTAGTTTAGCTAGAGGGATCTGGTTGGAGGTTTATGCTGAGGGGTGGGCAGTCTGTCTCAGAATTGCTTCTTCACTGCTGGTTTGCTATGCCATAGTAAGACATCCACTGTTTCTGCTGCCCCTTTGTCCATGGAATGCCCGTTTGTGGCGAAGCACGGAGCTCTTGGGACTGCAGCAGCCCCATGAGCCGGAGCTCAGCGTGGCGGTGCCCAGGCTGCGGCTGCTGGGGGGGCTCGGACTGCGTGGAGCTCATGGCCTTGCTCAGCCCGAGCCTGCTGCAGGCAGCCTGGCTGTGTGCCGGGCCCGGCCGGGGGTGCCCAGGCTGCGGCTGCTGGAGGGGGCTCGGACTGCGCGGAGCTCGTGGCCTTGCTCGGCCCGAGCCTGCTGCAGGCAGCCTGGCTGTGTGCCGGGCCCGGCCGGGCATAGCCCTGCTCCGTGTGTCTGTGGGGTGCTGCGGTCTGTTAATGTTCTGCCCAGAGCTGGGCTGCTCAGCACACGCGCCTTCTGCAGTGCACTCGCTGCTAATGCCCTTCTGGCTGTCTGCCGGCCCAGGCTGGCTACCTGCTGAAACAGCTTGTGTGTCTTTTTGTCTGGAGGGTGTCTCTCAACTTGGATGGACGGTGTCACAAGGTCCATTCATTTCTGTACTTGGCAGCCCTTAGAAATTCTGGTTTACGATTTCTTAATGTGCTGGTAAGAGCAGTTTGTATGAAAATGCTGAAACTCATCTCCTTAGCAAAGGATTTTAATTATTCCTATTGTAAGCCTTTTGGAATTCTGCAGAGGAAACATTCATTTCTTAGGACATAATTAACCTTCTGTATTTGGAGAGATGTGGAACTCTGGAAACTAATTTTAAGTATGGAGTATTCTCGTGACTTCTGTATGTTGGTCATCCTATCAAATTTCTCAGCTGATACATCCGAGACTTATAGTTAAATTCTGTCACTGATTGCCATTTTAGCAGCACAAAGCTTCCTGAGGTGCAGCACTATTTTTAAAGCTTTTGGGACTTGTTTTTTCTGACACATTGTGATTATCACAGAAAATGACCTGGAAAACATTTTGCACACCTGTTTTGTTGAGGCTGTTTGTAGAGCCTATTAAAGATAATGCTTTATTAGAATTATTCTGCAATAATATGACTTGTAGGCCTTGCAAGGAAACCTTGGTGTTTTACCACTTCAGCTAACCTGAAGTCCCCTTCCAGCAATGTAAGAAGACAATTTCCATTAGTGTACTGGTTTGCAGATACTCTACTGGCAGAGTTCCTTAGGAAACACAGACTTATTTTCTAATTTGATATTGAGATGGCATTGTAATGGATATCATTGCTCGTACATTCAATGTACATTAAATCTAAAATGTGTAAATATATTTATTTGTGTCATTTGCCATACCCAACTCCTGTACTTACATGGGATTTATTTATCCTACATCTTCTGAAGCTCCTGGAGACTTTGTTCTGCATTGTGACCTTAGTATCAGGGGAGGGTGGGTGAGAATGGCAGGTGCTTTTGGGGTTTTATTGCTGGTTTAACCTACCATGTTGGTATCAATAGTAGCTCTCAATTAGACAAAGCATTCTGGAGGTTGGCTTACATGGGAGCCTCTTGTTTTAGCTCTTTTGGAGTACATCTTTTATTATTTATAAAAAAACATTTTGGCGTTTTAAACCATGCTTTTTGGGGTTTGTGCAGCTGATAAATCTCAATGTGTGTATACAGTGAGCTGCTTTGTTAGCCACATTGATGCCCTGTCTGTTAAATAAAATCAGAATGTAGCTAGTGGTGCATTCTTCATTTCAATAAATGGGCTGGCCTTTCTTTGTTTTCCTCTCATTTGAGGCAGGGGGAAAGTCCTAATAATCTTTGACACTCTCACCTGTTTTGATTACAGAGACTCCCATTATTGAGAATTTGGCTTTCAGTTCTGAAAGGAGGAGCTCAAATGTGAGATTGCAATTTGGGCTATCAGCAAGGAAGTTGTTTCAGCTGAGTACAGGACAGTAACACTGAAAGTGGAAGATAAACAAGGAGTATTTGAAGTGCTCCATTTCAGCAGTAGCTGTGGTGTTGCAAATTTTTACTCTTCAGACAAGTTTTGGTTTGCCCTTAATCAGAATTTTAGATTACTGATTCTACCATGTGTTCTTCTGAATATCTTGCAGCCTGATATAGGGGGTGGGATGGTTTAGCATGTTGACTAGAATGTGTACCCCTCAGAAATTAACTTTTTATGGTTTCCTAAGTGTAAATTATGGTATGGTTTAGGCTTATATGTGAGATTTGTGCTTCTAGTGAGCAAAAATAGTCTTGTTTTTCCAATACAGCCATTAAAACTACAGTATGAATTTTGCTTATTAAAATGCAGGTATGTTTGTAGGATTACTGAAATGGGAAATTCAGCTTGATTAATGAAAGCTGCATAAAATGCAACTGATAAATAATGTTGAATTTTGCTTCTGGTCGTATTGTCCTTGCAGGATGCAGAGTTTCTAGGCTGTTCTGCTCAATTCTATTCTGTCATGTAGCATACTGCTGATAGGAGGATGAAAAGCAATTTGAATTCTTTCTGGAAGTCTGTCTGGACTGTTTTGTTTGTATTTTTCGATGGTGAATTCAGTGCACATTTATTCAACACAGTGAAATCCTTCCTAATTGAAGTGTGGTATCTCTTTTTTTAAGTAGGCCATCAGGATCGCCTAAAATTAACTTCAGGCCAATCTTTCCTAAAAATAACTTTAAAAAGTAAAACTTGTGCACTTTCTGGAAGGCAAAGCAGGATTCTTACCCAAAAGTTACTTGAATAATTAATTTGTGAAGGCATAGCTTCAACTAATTTTTAATTTTATCTTTAATTTTTTTTTCCAGATCCTTCTGAGTCGTACTTGAAACCGCCAAAATGGTTCTGGCAGATCTTGGAAGAAAAATAACTTCAGCATTGCGCTCATTGAGCAATGCCACAATTATCAATGAAGAGGTATGTAGTGTACAAATGTGATGGCATTAGCACTGGAAAAGTTCTGAGGAAACGTTCTTAAAGGCTGATGAGGAGCTTGAAGTGGGCTACCTAGACTTTT